CCAGTCTTTCGGTACCCCTATTCATGTCTTCTCCAAGAGTCTGTTTTTTACATTTGAAAATTCTATATTTTACCACCATATTTAACGAGTATACAATTATTTTAACTAAGTTTTATTTTACTTATTTATTTTTTTAATATATTTTAATATAATTTTACTTTTTTTTCTTAAAAAAAAACATTTTATTTGGTCTTTGTTTTATTAAAAAAATAATTTTTAATAATTTGAAAACGAATTTTACAATATGTGGAACGTATTTAAATTGTGTGGTGTGGGGCGTATTTGGCAGACGAATTTAACTTCACACCCTTCTGTAGTTTTTTATACTCAGAATATCTTCAAATTTTTTTGAAAAATCGTTTCTAATAAATGTTTCACGTTGTTGGAATCACTTAATTTTTGATTTAAGAATATTTTCGTTTTTCGACTGAAACTTTTAGGATTGTTTTTAAATCACTGATATTTTACTAGTCAATACCTAAATCGGCTCATATACTCTTTTGCTACCGAATAGGGCCTTTTATATAAGTTTTTTTTTCCCTATAGTCAATTTGATCAATTTGGTAAATTAAATTTTAGCTATTGAATGAATTATAGTAGTCTTATTATTTAATATATTAATATACATATGTATATATGTACATATGTATATTTTATACCCTACACCACTTTAGTGGGGAGGATAGAATCGTTTTCTGAGTCGATTTAGCTATGTCCGTCCATCTGGCTGGCTGGCTCGCTGTCCATGTAAACCTTGTGCGCAAGGTACAGGTCGCAATTTTCAAGATAATTGGATGAAATTTGACACACACGATTTTTTGGCCCAAGGACGAAGCCTGTTGTAAATGGTTAAAATCGGTCCGTTATTTCACCTAGCCCCCATGCAACAGATCCCCCCGAAAAGGGCTTCTGAGCTCATAATTATGTTAAATATACAGGTATATCGATAAAAAGCTGCACAACTAAGTTTTATACAAGCCTTGATGACCTCGCATATTTATATACATATTTATTTAATATTTATTTGTGTTTAATTTCATCGCGTTATTAATTTTTATAAGTGAATTTTGGACATTCAAGTCATATTCTGAAGGGAACTTTGTATGGGGGCTAGGGTCAAATTTGCAAGGTCAAAGCTTGTATAAAACTTATCCACTAAAGTGGTTTAGGATATAATTAATATGAGCCAAGACTGATATTGTTTTTGAGGCACTGAATGTCAGTTACTCCCATAATTTTAGTAAAGCAGCAGTTTTGGAATTACTCTGATGTAATGCATGTATGGATTACGTGGACCTCACTTAGGACGCCACGATGATAAATGGAATATATTTTTTCTCCATATAGGTATTTGAATTACTATTGGACCAGTCGTTTAAGGAGTACTATTAACATGGGTGTGCGAAGTAGCCTCAATTTTTGCAGAGTTTTACTGAGATCGAGATTTTTAATCGCTGTTAGGGGACAGAGGATACTATAATAAAATGTATTTTTTACACTCGAATTCAGTACATTTATATCCATTCTTTGAGAGTTATTTCTACAAAAACGTTATCCACGGGACACTCTTCTGTACAGGTTATTGGAACGGTATACATTTTAATACGAAAGTAAATTTTTGTTTCACTTAAAATATTATTAGAAAATTGAAGCCATTAAGATATACCGGCTTTTTAATGTTCAGAAAAAAGTTACCGTAAGGAATTGTAGGTACATGAATGAAACAAATCCTAATTTGCAATGCTACTTACTTCTGTACAGTTTCCAAATCTAGTTTTGTTTCACTTTTCGGATCTTTGGGTTTAAAAAATGAACTAAAATCAAAAATCATTTTATTTATTTGCATATTATAATTTATTTATTTATTTACTCACGTTATATTTCTTTGCGACATTATATTTATATATGTAAAACTCCTGCATTTGTTTTTATGCAAAAAAAGCCGCCAACATTGACAATACATGCATAAAGTGTTGTCTACTTCTTTATAGTTATAACATTTTAACGTCTTAAAACTTTTCTACAAGTGCCGGTTTACACAGAGAAACTTCTGTTCATGGTATACTTCGATGGTAAGCCCCTTACGCGAGCACACAAGTATATGATCAGTAAATATTTTGTGTAAAAGAGTACGGATGGGATCGTTTCATTGAGAAAAAATACGGAGGTATGTTGCAAACTAAAACACTTTTATTTTATAACTTTATTAAGATGCCTACACACTATCAGAGAAGTCGTTAGATTTTTATTTCAAACTGACAAAACAAAATAAAATGAAAATTCGCATGATTATCAAAAAAATCCAATAGAAAATATATTTTGTTTTTACACTATCATATTTGAAAAAAAATGAAACTTCAATTTGAAAAAATTCAAAGAAAAAACATAAATTTTCATTTTGTTTCTGTTTTTATGTTTTTCTTTTTTTAAATAAAAATAAAACTCAAATAAAAGGAAAAATCCAATCGTTTTGAAATTTTTCAAAAAATTTAAAAAAATCATACGATTTTCAATTTTTTATCCGTATTTTCAGTAAGTTTTATTACATTTTGTATCTACACTATAATATTTTTAATTTTATTTGAAAATTTTGACTATAAAATGTCGAAATTTTTATTATAAATAATTTTCTTGAATCATAAACATCATTATTAAAATATAAAAAATTTAAGAATTGTTCCCACAATAGAAAATTCGACAGTCGTATGGCTCTCTTCATTTTTTGAAATGATTCAAAAAACAATACAAAAAATGTGAAACAGCAATAAATCAAAGCAAAATGATGGTTTGTTTAAAATTATAATTATTTTTTAAGAAATAAATATGAATCAGTACACCCAAGGTATATTAATTATATAATTATGATTACTTATATAATCTTAATTATTATATAATCTTGATTACAACCTGACGAGTGGTATTTAAGCCCCTTTTACATTATACCACAAGTAATATGATCAGTCAAAATTTTGTGTAGAAGAGAACAGATGGGGTAGCTGGAGGTCCACACCACGCGTTCTACGCTACTTCGCATTCTACGCAGCTGTCAGAAAAGTAGAATCAATGTTGTTGTGTGTTACAAGTTACAAGCACAATAGCGTAGGATGCCTTGAAGCGTAGAATGCTTAAAGTATATCTACTTTCTACTTTTGTAAGCGTCATAAGCGGCGCACGAATATATCAGCTGATTTTGACAATTTATATTCTATTTTTAATGTGTATTTATCAATTTTAATAAATATAAATATATATAAAAACGCGAGTTCTTTGTAAATGAAGCAAAAAATTGACGCTTAAGTAGCGTAGCATGTAACTTCCCTACAAGAACAGTGACAGTCATTTGATAGGTCATTTGACTGGCACTACTGATGTATTATTTCTATCACAGCGTAAAGCAAAGTTTTTATCAGTTTCTTAAGGCAAATGGTCAAAAGTGATGGAAACATTTGTGTACATGTGATTTTTCTTCTCCCTTGCACTTATGAATTCTATCGACTTTAAAACATATATTTGAGCTCCTCACTCTTTTGTTGTTTACTAACCAAGGATGACATAAATATTAGTCAGGATTGACTGATCATGCTTGATGGATATATCTATCACAGTTAACAAATTAAAAATGATGTATTTATCGGTCATTGTTGACTAATCATATGTGATGAATATATCCGTCAAATGTGACGGCTATACCAATTTATAATAAAACACAATTTATTAATATTTTAAGATATATATTTGTTAATTTTATTAATATAATAAGCATGTACATAAATTAACAATCATTTCACCATTTTACATACCTCGCAGGATCTTAAATCCGCTGATGCTCCTTTTAATTTGTGGAAATAAGTTGTCTGTAAGAAATACATATGAATATCGAAATATAAAAATTAAAAGTAAGTAATCATGTTACCATAGATTGATTAAACTCCGAAGTGTTTATCTTCAGCTCCACTTCCTGCACTATTTTTAAATTCTGTTTATAATAATTCTCTTTATTTTCAATAATTTATACACTTTGTAAATTTTAAAATTTTTCGCTTCTTGATCTTTGGCTTTTACAGAAATAAATAATTTATAACGTCGAAAAATATAACTCTAAAACACAGTAACAGTCAAATGTAGTTGTTTCAATCTTTCATATGCAAATGAAACCCTTTACCACACATTGGGTACATCAACAGTCATTTTACCGGTCATTTGACTGTCATTATTGATGGAATTATCCATTAACTATTTTTTTTTGCAATTTTATAAAAAAAATGTTGCAAGAGTGTTAGTGAAATCATTTTGTATGGGTTAGTTTCGGTCATACATTTCTTGTAGGGTTGCTGCGTAGGATGCAAAGAAGGCATAAAAAGCACGAGTGTGGACTTCCAGCTTTAAACGCAATATATAATAAAGATCCAAACACATAGTCCTATTTTAGATAGTGACTTTTCAGGCATGCCTTTTTTCAATTTTCTTGTAAATGCCTTTCATAAAATCTTGAATGTTTACATTGTGATTATTAAGCCCATGTCTATATTAGACAAATATTTATTATGTTAAACGTCAAATTGTTATCATGATAAAAAATTAGCAGGTACAGACAGAATTTATGAGCGTTATAACGTCGTTATGACAGTGTTGTCTAAACAATTGCCTTGATAACAAACGTCATTTTATTGTAAAATTTGTTTATAATTTTATTTTTGTGCAATTAAAATTGATTTTTAACATAAGTTTTAGTGAAATTAGTGTTTATTTATAAAATTTGCAAACAATTAAAATAGTTTTATAAAATATAGCATTATTTCAAAAAAAATTAAAATTACCTGTAGGTTGTCGTGATAAAATCAGCATATTGTTAAACCTATGCATTAACATAAACAAAAAACTCAAAATTTTTCTGCCGACGTTTTGTCAAGCGCCGAGATTAATATTAGTCTAATATAGACACGGCGCTAGTGATAATAATTTATGTTGCGGTTTATTTTGAGTTTACAAAAACGGCGTAACCTATAAAGCGCCTTGGCGACACATCAAATTGTTTGACTGTAAAAAAACTCACACCGCATATATACATGTGAGTTTTTTCACTAACACAATCAAAAAACTTACCGTTTGAATCAAACAAATTTGATGTGTAGCCGTGTCGCTTAAAGTGTAAAAGCTGGTTGGCGGCGCTCCGCCGTTTTTTGATACTCCGCTTTTATCTATGTTTTTTTGGTGGTAAACGTTGTGCTACCACCGGCTTGTTCTGTACTTTATTAGAGAAATTGGAAATTGAAAACAAAAATGGTAAATTATCTTGTAATTATTATAGACAATATTAAAATAATATTTATTTTCTAGACGATTGGGAAAAATAATAAGATGATACAACACCTTAACTACCGGGTGCGTATTGTTCTTCAAGATTCACGTACATTTATTGGAACTTTCAAAGCCTTTGATAAACACATGAATCTTATTCTTGGAGATTGTGAGGAGTTTAGAAAGATTCGTTCTAAAAATGCAAAAGTTCCCGAAAGAGAGGAAAAACGAGTATTGGGATTCGTGTTATTGCGAGGAGAAAATATTGTATCACTTACTGTTGAAGGACCACCACCACCAGAGGAGGGTTTACCCCGTGTTCCACTTCCAGGTGCTGCACCCGGTCCTGGTATGGGTCGCGCTTCTGGTAGAGGTGTCCCTGTTAATATATCTTCAGTTCCAGCAGGCCTACAAGGTCCAGTACGTGGTGTTGGTGGTCCAGCTCAACAACATATGGCTCCCATGGGTAGGGGAGTACCACGAGCACCAATGATGGGTGGACCACCACCAAGTATGATGCCAGGCGGCATTCCACCAATGCCTGGAGCTATGGGACGCGGCGCTCCACCACCAATGAGAGGTCCTCCCCCTGGAATGTTAAGAGGTGCACCACCGCCAGGTAGAGGAGGTTATTAAATATTATATTCTATTCTAGGTTTTTTCTATATTATGTATGTACATTTTTAAATAAATAAGCGTTCAATCAATAACACTAAAAATGTCAAAATAACAGAAAAACTCCGATGAACAACTTAATTTTGGGTCGTAGAATCTGGGACATTTGTATTGTGTATTGCACTTTGAAGTTTACATTGTCTCTAAAGCGGTCTTTTATATTTCAAAGTACACTTAAAAATCTTTTAAAAATTGCTAATTTTAGGGCCAATCTTTAGGTGAAAGATTAGCGATTAAATTAAAATTAATCCTCGAAAGATGTTTTTGAGTACTCAATTAGTTAATTTTGTTTGCAAGTTTAAGCGCCCAATGGAGGTGGTTTAATCTTAAGCACGAAATGCAAAAAAATTAATAAAATTTTTACAAATATAAACATTCAAGTAAAATACATTTTTTGTTTTTAATATAAGTTTTCATTAATTTTCATATTAAATTTACAATTGTCTTCTTTTTATAAAATATGCATTGTTTTGATAACAAATAGTGAAGTTTTTTGTTGTTTTGTATGGCAACACTGCAAAGTTTAATCTTGTACTCAAAAACATCAAGGGATTAACATAAGATTAAATTTATTTTTAGATTAACTAATCTGATTATTAATTGGCATTTGATTACATCTCAAAAACTCGCTCTTATTGTTTATTTATTAAAACTTACAATGATGGCCATCAAAATATTTACTTAGAAATAAACCGAAAACATTTTTTTAAGAGCATCAGACACAAATCCTGGGAAAAAGGCGGAACGTCATTTTTAAAACTAAGTTTCGACAAATCAACAGTAACCCAGCGGTAAAAATACACATTATGTACTCGCTTATCTAAGTGATATTTCGTGGCAGTCAGTGGTGATGCTTTCACTTATTCTTCCACTTAGATTTAACATAAAAGTGTCCTAGGCTGCCTCATCGATGTGCTCTCGCTTAGAATGTAAGCCACAATGTCATTAAGACAAATTAAAATTTCACTTACATAATGTGTGGAGTTCTAAGCAAAGTTAATAAGACGCCTATAAACGCCTGCAAATAAGAATGTAATGTATGTAGATTACAATCCTATTTGCATTTGTTATAGAAAAAATATATACTTTTTATATTTCTTTTAAAATTATGCAAGTTTATTTAAAAATTATCATGAAATAATAAACATGTATTATAGTTAATTCAATAAAAATATAATTAAACAATTTTAACGAAGATAAATGAAATGAATATTAATTTTCTTTTGAAACTGTCGGTCATCTTCCTTTAGAGATCCTGTAAATAATCAAGAGGAAATTGTCAGTATTAAAACAAGAATATATGAAGTAAATTTACCCCAATTTTTAAGTCCGTTTCTGCCATTTAGATCACCACAATTATTTTAAATTTTTACAATAAAATAACTTTTTTAACGAAACACAACGTCACTTACAAAAGATCAACTTTAAACTGAAACAAAAATATTCTTCTTTTCATGTATGTAGTATACAAAAGAAAAATAAAACGGTACTTTAGTTAAGTTTTTTTTATAAAGAAATAAAAACAAAAAAAAACATGAAAAAGGCAGATAACTCTCTGCTTAAATCGTAATCTATGTTATAATTAAAGTGCATGATATGTTGGATTACGCATATATTGCACTCTAAGTACTTAGATTGCTCGCTTAGAACGTCATACTGATGTCATCGAATATTATCTAAGTACTTTGTTTCATTTACCGCTGGGAAGTTCAAAAGAGAGAGAGAGTAAGATTTCAAAAACCGCTTTAGAAACAATGCAAATTTCAAAGTGCAATAACTCCTATTCTGCATTTCGATTCTATGCTCGGTCACGAAAATTTACATAATAGAATAAATGCCGTTCACAAAAATTGAAATAATAGAATAAATGTATGTATGTATAACACCGTGATACAATTTTATTTTATTGGAGATCATATACACCATATGATACTAGAGGTCATTTAATGTGAAACTGCGTTTTCAGTTTTTCATTTTGTGATCTTTTCTCCTTTTTAAAGGACTAAAGTTGTAAGGATATTAAAATATATTTACTGAATAATCGTCGTCAATATGGGTATCAAAAGACAGGACAATCTCCGAAAATAAAATCTATTTTTTGTTTTTATTTTTCAGGACGAAATATTTTAAATAATATAATACAAAATATTCCATATAATAATATAATACTAATTATTCCATATTTAAACATTACATATCGTCACCTGAAATGCAAAACAACAAAAAAATTAAAAATCGACTTTTTAATTGAAAATGGTCCACTGCATCAAAATACATGCTGCAAATTTTCAGAACCATATTGTCAAAAACAAATGAATTTTTATACCCTACACCACTTTAGTGGGGAGGGTATATTGGGTTTGTCCTGATGTTTGTAACGCACAATAATATTGGTCCTATACCCACCTTAAAGTATACCAATCGGCTTAGAATCATTTTCTGAATCGATTTAGCTATGTCCGTCCGTCTTGTAATCAAACTACAGGTCGAAATTTTGAAGATAATTCAATGAAATTTGGTACATGATCTTCCATTGTCCCAGGGACGAAGCCTATTGAAGATCGGTCCATTATCTTAGAATCATTTTCTGAGTCAATTTAGCTATGTCCGTCCGTCTGTAATCCTTGTAATCAAACTACAGGTTTTTGAAGATAATTCAATGAAATTTGGTACATGATGTTCTATTGTCCCATTGAAAATGGTTAAGATCGGTCCATTATTTCACCTAGCCCCCATACAACAGAACCCCTGAATAGGGCTTGTAAACGTGTAATTAAACTACAGGTCGCAATTTTGGAGATAATTCAATGAAATTTGGTACATAATCTTCTATGGTACCGGAAACGAAGCCTATTGAAAATGGTTAACATCGGTCCATTATTTTACCTAGCCCCCATACAACTGAACCCGCCGAATATTTAAGAATTTTTAAGTTCTTAATTATGGTTAATATACTCCTATCTCGACAAAAAGCTGTAAAACCAACTTCTTTACTAGCCTTAATAACCCTCATGAATTTTATAATTATAGGACCTCATTTGACCCTAGCCCCTACAAAAATCCCCCTTCAAAATTTGACTTAAATGTCCACAATTTTATTCCACAATAAATGGCTAAGTATATCTGAGACAAGGTACAATTCAACTGAAATGCTCCATTATGAAAACTAAATCACATTTTGGTCGGCCTCGCCCGACTATAATTTCTTACTTGTTTTACATGAAACTCAAAAGGGTGTAACAACAAATTTGTAATTTTTACCGGTCAGAAAGTACTAAAAAGCAATACATACAGTGGTTCACAGCTTATTTCAACCAGTAGGCGTTATAAATTTTAATTGGACGTATTTTCTAAACAAAAATATTTATCATAAAAATATAATCGCAAAGCCATATGTTTTTGTTAAAACTTAAAAAAGCGAACTTCATTTATTTATTTTTATAAGTATAAAAAAATAAAAAAAATTAAAAATAATTCAAAATAAAATAAAAATCACAGCTTATTTCAACCAGCTTAACAATGTTTACCTATTCCTAAAAATGGAATAAAAATATCCTCATTTTAAAACTTTGTATGACCTCCCTTTTGGTCAATAACTGCTTTTAACTCTTTGGCATCGATTCCACCAACTTCCTTGTTGTTTGGGGAGTGATTTTGACCATTCTTCCATTAAAGCCCTTTTTAGATAGCTTTTATTCGATATTTTGTGGTTTCTAATATTTTGATCTAAAATTGCCCACAAATTTTCAATCACATTAAGATCAGGTGATTGTGCCGGTGGCGCCATTAAGTAGGGGCAATTCCAAATGAGCCAAGTTTGAACAATTCCCGACTTGTGTTTTGGGTCATTATCTTGGTGAAATCGAAAATCTTCCCTTATGCCAAGATTTTCGGCACTTTGCAGTAAATTTGTTTTCAATATGTTTTTGTCCATTGTTGTCTCTATAAACTGAAACTTTCCAACTCCTGCGGAAGATATACAGGCCCAAACCATGACGCTGCCACCACCATGTTTAACTGTTGCCTTAAGATGATTGTTTTGCAGCTCTGTATTTGGCTTGCGCCAGACGTATGTTTGGCCGTCAGAGCCAAAAATTTTAAATTTAGACTCGTCCGAAAAAATAACTTGGTTCCAAAAGGTCATGTCCTTATTTATATGTTCCTTTGCAAACACGAGACGGCTTTGTTGATTTTTTACTAATAAATGTTTTTCCGGGCTACTCTACCAAGCAATCTGCTCCCTAAGCAATCTGCGAATGGTTTCTGCGCTACATGCCTTTCCTAACTCATTTTTAACCGCAATAGCAATTTTAGGAGCTGATAGCTTAGGATTTTCTTTAACTTTTCTGACAATATAGCGTTCATCCGTTGCATTGATTATTTTGTTTGGAGCAGTCCTACCTTTATTATGAACTCTATTTTCACGAATAAAGCGTGTTATTATACTTTGCACTGTAGAATCACTTAAACAGACCATTTCTCCAATTTTTCGACGAGAGTGACCATTTTTGAAATGATTTAAGACCAACTCTCGCTGCTCAATGGTAGTACGTCGCCCCATTTAAAAAATGCTTAATACGAACAACTCAGCGGTCGAAGAAATACTAGAAACTAATCTAAACGTTTGCTAATAAAACAAAAAGGCATAAGAGAAAAAAATTTACCGCTATTCCAGCCAACAAGTAATCATAACTGATCATATTATAGTGTGGTTGAAATAAGCTGTGCCGCTTATTTTTGTAACAAAAAAATATATATATATGTATGTATATATAATTTTTTTTTAGCAAAACAGTAAAATTTTTTTTTCTTTAGCAGATTCTTTTTAAAACCTTTTATTTATAGAAATATGTGGAAATTTTGTTGATTTTTCATTTTGTTTAGAAGCTATAATAATATTAATATAAAAATAAATCCTGGTTGAAATAAGCTGTGAACCACTGTATAATGGACAATGCCTCGCGACACACTTACATTCAAACATTTTATTAATGTTAGTGCATAATACATCCCAATAAAAATTGATTCAAACCTA